CTCTCTAATGACTCAATTACTGGTACTGGTACTTGTAGCGTCTGATTTCAGACATTCGGCAGCCATTGACATTATGTTGGCGTTAAAAGACTGCATATTGTGATGAGGGACCTGTGTACAAACAATTACCAAACACAAAAAATATGGAAAACTGAATGCTATTTACAAAATATTTTATTTAATGCTATGGGTGAAACTTTCTTTGATAAATTGGCTTCTATTCAGTTGAATTTTTTCTACATGATTATTTATATATATATATTTTTTAATAAAACCAATTTCTTTTAATTATAAATACATTCCCCTGAATTCGTGATAATTCGTTATCACGCATAGATTTGTGCTAAATGCGTGACAAATTATGGATCACGCATGTGTTACTGCAAAATGTGTGTTTCATCCAAAATCACTTTGAAATGCGAGACAGTTGGTAACTATGCTATAGATCGACTACAATGTACCTTAATATTTAATACATTTAAATCAAATTTACATCAATCTTAATAATGTGATTTTAAAAAGCAGAGGGAAAAAAAAAGAAAAAGTAAATAAAGAAAAATTGATCGCCCAAACGCATCAGAAGTTATTTTCGGGCGTCTAGAAAACAAAAATTTCTCGAAGATGGTGTTATCTTTTTCTTTTTCCTCCCCCCTTCGGGCATCTGTGGATTCGCCCCTGAATTGGCCTACATGCCAGCAACTAAAGAACATAGGCTATTTATAAGGATGTAGCTGGGCATGTATTTTATGGTGATAATTAAAAGATGAAAAATAGTGAAAGTTTAACATTGCTCTGTGTATATCATTTGAATTTCTTAAATTTCGAACGAATGACCGCTGATTTTCGTGTAATTATGTACCCACTTTTGTCTTCTAATCGGATTAAAATCTGGCCGAATTTTGGCCGATATCGAAAACAAGTTTGGCCGAATTTGGCCGTGAGATGGCGTGTGTTTTTGGCCGTGAAGACTGTCGACTATCTGGCAACCCTGATTAGTCACTCGTACACTGGACTTTATGCTAAGAGCATCATTAACCCTATCACAGTATTGTTTATGTGTATCTGGTGTCCGAGTCTACACAGGAGTATAATTGCCTGCGCTGTGGGTACTGCTGTGTTCGTATATTTCTGGAGTATTATCGCCTCGAAGCAAGATATCCCATTGGATAAGGTAAGCTTCACTCGGTATTATCACAGTATATAGGCCTAGGCGATAATTACTACAGTTGCAAACGAATCGCATCCGGTGAATCAAGTGTAATAGAAAGTGTGAAAACAGAAATTGAGGATAAAATGTCGACTGAATCATGGCCATCTCTTCTCGGAAAGGTAAATATATAATTTTTAACTCAACTGTCTGTTAGATAATATACATACAAAGGCTTAGTTCTGTTCATAGATGATGCTCCAGCAAGTAGTTAGTGGGCTAGGCCTACTTACTACACTAGGCCTACACTCTAGCCTAGAGTAGTCTGTCTAGTAGTACATATACTAGCCTAGCTAGGCCTACTCTTCCTACGTTAGGCGCCCAAGCCTTGGATTAGGCTAGGTATACGTTACGTAGACGGATTTACTTTTGTTGTGTTAGACTTGCTCTCGCCTAAAAATATATAAGGAGGGGCCTAGGCGAGGCCTGTACTTAGGTCTACCTAGCCTAGGCTAAGGGATCCTGTCCCAAGGCAGTAAGTAGTGTACTAAGCCAAACCAAATCCAACGCCGCCTTAGCATATTGACAAAATGGAGTGGATAATGGCTGTTCCTCCTCCTCCAGTCGGACAGGAGCAAATACACCATCTGCCGGAGTTGGTCTATCATTATGTCTAGACGATTGGCCAAGCGGTTAAGACAGGGAAACCATGACATACAGCCATAAATATCTGCGTTGGTTCAAACGGCACGCTCGCCTATGGTTCTGGTGGTGGAACAAGTCTTCTCGGATAAGGACTCTAAACCGTAGGTCCAGTGTGCACAATTGGCTCGTGTGAACCCAGTACACCATTCGAGAAGAGTAGGGGGTTACCCCGGTGTACTGGTCCATTTCCAGTCCATCCACAGAAGGAGCGTTTACGTCATGACCCATGTCAGGTATCCATCCTACCTGCGAATCCTTCTACCACACTATGTAAGCAAGATCTTACACACTAGCTACGTAGTGACTCGATAAGAAGAAGCAATGGTGGCTCCAGGAATTCCCCGACAAAATGGCAACGTCCCCAACAGGCAGGGCAATGCCCCTTACGGGCAGGGCAAGCAAGGGTTGTACTTTGTTTGATGCGTAGTGCCAACAAGAACTGTGGGCCGAACAGGGAGGGCAATGAGAAAATTAAAAAAAATAATAATCTGCTAGATGCTCATACAGCTCATCAGCGTCCAAACGATTAATATTTGTAGGCCTTTACCAATTTAGGCCAGCATTTTTATGTAAACATTAAAAAAAATTTTTTTTTTATCCCTCCCATCTCCCCATAGTCCGCCACTGTCAGACAGGCTAATAGCAACCCCTCCCTCATGCCGACACTGACTCAGATCAACAATTAGATTTTTTTTCTTAATTTTTATAAATATTTGGGCATTCATTAAAAATACCCAAAATTGCCCAGTTTTTCAATGTGCCATGCAAGTTGAGGAAATAAAGAGTTTTCAGTCCACCAGCCAAATAGTCAATTTCTAAAGACATAAAAAATAATTAAATCTCATGATTAATTGATAATAATAATAATTTGGATTTTTTTTCAACTAATATTTAACTAATTGTTTGCTGTAGTACAGTGCTGAAATTCATGAACTTTGGACTTGAACACTGCTAATTCAATTTGTTTGCTTTTTTTTCCAGAAAGCTGAGGAGGCTAAGAAATTTATTTTGGAAGAGAGTCCAGAGCTTCAGGTTGGTCAATGAATTTAGATTTTTTTCTTGGTTGTGGCTATGTCTACTCCGAAGTATGCAAATCCCAACAAGCTGATTGGTCGACTTGGCTTTACCCTAATTTTTTTAAATAGCCCTGCCTATCTTAATACACTACAGCATGACGTTTTTAATAAATCATATTAATACTGATTATTTAATTATTGATAGCAGAACACAGGTTGACAATATTTTTCTTTGGTGATGTTGCTCTATTAACTGAGCTATGTGTCTTAGCTGCTACACTTGGATTTTTTTCCTTCAGACTCTCTCATAGTGTTTCATAGTTTGCCATTCATTTACAGGGAACTTTTACTAAAAACCAGCCTACCATTCAGGGGCAAATCCAGAATTGTTAAGAAGGACCTACTGGATCCTACTGGATCTGCACCTGCCATTTGACCTCAATATTAAATGAATTTTTCAGTACACTTTCATTTACCCTTTTCCGCCATCGTGCATTTATTCTTCAATATGCTGTCTTCTATCTGTAGCTGATAACATTAACATATTGACGATAAAGCTTATGGCTTCTGCATATCAAACTGTGATATCATTTCCCACAGCAGTGTTTGTCCCTATGGAACTGGTAGTTTTTATGTAAATGCATAAAAAAAATTTGTGGCAAAGACAAGCCAAACCAGTCAATCATCGCAAAAATAAATTTGTTGTTATAATACAGTGTTGAACAGTAAAATGAGAGCTATAAAATGGTAAAAAAATCATTTAAATCCGAAATTTTGTTAAGAAGCTGTTATGAGTTTAAACATACAGCTGTTTAAAGAACAATATTTGAGAAATCAGCCTTCAAATTTTATGATTTTGGGCATTTCTCAGGTAGAAACCATCACCAAATCATTAACAGTTGTTGTTTTAACATTGAAAATGGGAAGATAACAGCATAGCATGATATACTGTCAGATATATAAAGGTTAGTTTAGGCAAACCAGATAAAACGGGCTTTTTTTGGGACACTGCCCTCTTCATCATAAAGAAGACAACACATATTTAACATTAATTTTTTTCTTTTTCTGGTGCCGTTATATTTTTTTTTTTTTTTACTTTTCAAATTTCCTCATCCTCAGATTTATATCCTACCTGAAGACTCCATGATGACAATGGATTATAGGACAGATCGCGTACGAATCTTCATTGATGAGAACCAGATTGTTGTCAAACCACCTAAGGTCGGCTAGGGATCCTAACACACTGGACATACAGCTGTAGATATTAAATGATACAATATCTATAATACTGCAACCAATATGGTTGGCTTATTTTTCATTTTATTCCAAAATTCCATTTTATTCCAAAATACCAAAATATTTTTTAGTATTACAATAAATAATGCAATATAATTTTTCAATGGCCTTTTATAGAAGACAAAACCTATATATTTATATATTTCACATCAGATATAAATGACATTTTAAAATTCATAGTGCAATTGACTAAGGTACTCATAGTAACACAATATGTTTTACCAGTTATTTAAACTCAAATATGCCTTTAAGGTTGCAGTGCGCACCCTCATTGTTTATCATGAATGTACAGTACTGTTTAAACAAATAAGCAATTCTGCCAGCTAAATATCTTTTTGGGTGTAACATTCCAAAATTAGTAAAAGCTTTACCATGTCTCTGCCTATCAAAATAACATTATTTTGATTGAAAACCCTTAATATTGTGGTCTAAAAGCGCACAAATTTGTTCAATACTAAGCCATAAACTCTCCACATGAACCCTTCCGGGGTTTTTTTATTCTGGGCCCTGACCGAGGTTCTAGTCGGCCTCTTGGTTCAGACCCCACCCCAACTGTTGGCAAATTTCTGGATCCACCACTGCATATGCGGTAGACTCTAGTTTACTGTTGTCTTCCAATAATAATGACATGATTGTGATTTTTATGACATATTATTTTCAAATTTCACCATGAAATATTTTTATAAATTAAAAAACTGTGTTTAATTAAATGCTTTGTATGGAAATATTTATGTGATGTTAAATTTGATTTATTTAATTGTGCTAAGATAATGCACAATAATGTGATAATATTAAAAATGTGGTATTTTTAGATGAATAAACATTTTCTGCATCTGAGTATTTCACTGCCTTGTGTTCATTTGGTGTTTTATATTTTAAGGGAAAGTATTTTTAGAATTTTAGAAATCATAAATAATGAATATTTTAATAATTATCAATATTATTAAAATCATGAATATTTTAATAATTATCAATATTATTAAAATCATAATATATAAAATAATTCCAGATTTATGTGATTTATGTTATCAACCTTGAAGCATTCTACATAAACGAATCATAAAAAAAACTTTGTGAAATTGTCCCTTGCTCAGTACAACTTGTGGTATCTGTGTGAGAATGGAGAATAGGGATGGTTTGAGTGTTAAGGTGGAGGAGGTTTGGTATTCCATTCATAATTCCGTTCATATTTCAAATGTATACCAAAAGGTTTATATTGTTTGATTTTCAGACATATCTGAATCAAAAAGGCAAATCGTGTGTCTGTTCAAAGTCCAACACTGGTGTAATGATTGAGTGGCAATAAAGTGTATGCTCAGCGATATGTTAATGAGAACCATCAGAGTTTTGCTCCATAGTTTTTATGCTCAAAGAACAACATGCCTGAGCAATTAAAACTCTTAAAAGATATTAAAAATAAAATAAATAAAAACAAAAATAATAAATAAAAAAATTAATAAAATAAAATAATGGATGGATCGATGGACGAACAAAATAAAGATATTAAAAATATGTTGTCTGCTTTTTTCACCATGCAGGAGCCCAAAATAATTAATAAATTTTGAAACCACTTGCAATGAATTAATTAAATTAATTTGACTGATCATACCAGCAATTTTTTTTTGCATTCAGTGATGGAAATTGACACGTATTCATCTTGCACCACTTGTATTATATGCTATGATTTTTTTTTATGTTTAACGATTTTATTTTTTTTAAATGAATTGTTATATTGCTTTATGCCTACTACACATTGTAGTACATTTTACCTTTATGTTATGATGTTAAAAAAAAAAAATTAAAAAAAAAATAATTGAAAGGGATGTAATGTAGTATTAAGGTTCAATGGTATTAACTTGCATAACCATTGGAATCGATACCCTTCACCTGATAAATGCCTTAAATTGGTTTGACAGTTTAATGGCCAACTTGAGTATACAGATAATCTAATAATATAACTGGACGTTGTATAACTTTACCCTAGTCAGTTGGACTTGGCCTTTCTCACACTATGAATCTATGATTGTCAGTTTTAAGCCTAAGCTCTGAAGTTTGTGATACATCTTAATTAGCAGTTTTTAGTAAACAAGTTATTAAATCATAGAGAAAGAATTTCTCTATGATCCAATCAGAAACTCTAAAAGTATGGGGTGACTTATTTGAGACACACCCCATTACCTAAAGTATAATAGGCAAACACCCCCATATCACTGAGTCAGTAGTCAGTAGTCAGTACAGAGCTGAGCTAACTCCACTCTAAAAGGGTTCTCTAACATCTGAAACCTGGAGTTTAGCTGATTGTAACCACGTACAGTTTGTGTGAATAAAAGTTTGCAGTGTACTAAAAAGGAACTGTGTTACATACTACATTAAAAAGCACCAAGCAAGAAAAAGATATTTAACATTATGTGAATTCGGATACTCCTATTCAGGGGACACCTGTGCCTATTGTAGTATTAAGGAGACACTTCTTTGAATCCCGAATGGATTGATATCAATCGAAACGTCGAGATATGCTCAACCAACAGCAACAGTTCTTGTCAGAACTATCTATGTGGTGTACAAGCAATAATATATACTGTATATTGAATAAATTGATTATTGATCATCATACACGAATCTTAACTCGTACATTCTATAGTATACTCATGCTACGGGAAGCTATTTTTATACCTGATATTGTTTTAATAATAATGTTTTTAATGAACATTGACCTATGTTTTTATGCACATGTATTCCTTTATTTGAATAAAGTGATTATTGATTATCTTATTTATATTCATTAAAGAAATATGGAATACTTATAAGAAAACTTTTCATAATAGTATTCCAGTTACGCCGGCCGGTGTAGCACGCCGGCCATGATCGCTGCACTCCTTGTTGTATCCTTGGGCAAGGCACTTAATTCCCTTTCACACATTCACGATTTTTACAAAAAGTTCAGTCGAATTTGGTTTTTTTCAAGACGCTAATAGGACGCCGTAAAGATATATTACGGCAGTAATGAGATAGTGCGACGTATTGTTACGAATTATAACGATAGAGTTACAACAACGTTGGCTACGAATTACCAATATTTTATTACGACGTCAGTACAATTTTACAGAGACGTAAGCATGACTATTTAACGCGATGCCTGTTTGATTTACTTTAACTTGACAAAAAAGGCGCAATTTACGAATATTTGAATGCTGTCTTTGTCGCGACAGTTGTCACCATGTTCAAAAACCTGCTGTATAAGAATGATAAAATGTGTTGGCTGCTACCACAGCTTTGATTATCCAGGGTAGGGGGGGTCAGTTACGTCAAGGGCATTAACAAAGAGTATGGCTCCTGCGCCGTCCACTTGTTGGTTAGTATGATCACCTATTAGTGGAATTAAATAGAGTTATCCAAAAGGTTACAAAAACTTTCTCCGTGTGAGCAATGCATTTTGTAATGAGTAGGTGGCGCCGTCCACTTGTTGGTCAGTATGAACACCTATTAGTGGAATTAAATAGAGTTATACAAAAGGTTACAAGAACTTTCTCCGTGTGAGCAATGCATTTTGTAATGAGTAGGTGGAACCTGTTGGACTTCGTATACAAAAAAAAAGATAATTTTGCGGAAAAACCCCGACACGATGCTGGTACGGTAGACCAAATTTTGTTCACGGCTACCATAGAGTACGATTTTTGAACATTCCAAAAAAATCGTGCTCACGATGGCATGAAGATTCAGCACGATGGAATACGATGAATTACAATTGACCACGGCATTTAGTACGAAGCCATTGAGATTTTCAAAACTTTAAAAATCGTAAATGTGTGTGTTTGCCTCTCTTCACCCAGGAGTATAAAATGGGGTCATACTGTTAACCTACTCTTTGGTGACCCTACTACGACTGTTCCAGTCAAATTAATAACAGTAACTAGACGCAGGCTTCCCGGAACGCCGCCGTCAGCGGCGAGTGCGAAGCACAACCAAAGATCTTTGAGCACAATGTCAGGCTCAAAAGTGGAACGTGAAATTTGGATATGGTTTTGTAGTCAGATTTGCGAGAAAAACTTCAGCTACCCGTATTTCTCGACTGAGATGTCAGTAGGAGCTGTAATTTGTATGGCAAGACGTCAGTGGGAGCTGTAATTTGTATGGCAAGGAGATTGTGCAATTTACGCCCAGAAACCTAGTAGTTATTAATATTTTGGTTATAATAGAAAATATTCATTGTTTGGTGACGTCACACTCACGTTAGTTAGCATGCGTACGTCATAAGCTAGATACGTCACCTTTTCCTGGTAAGGCAAACTTTCCCGGCGTGCTTTTTTCATCGATAAACAAACACCGACTGAGGCTATCGGCACTGCCGCAGTGCGAAAAAAAGCTGCTGTTTTTTATCGGCACTGCCGCAGTGCGAAAAAAGCTCCGATTTTCTATCGGCACTGCCGCAGTGCCAAAACACTGCAGTTTTCTATCGACACTGCCACTCGAAAAGCTGCTGTTTAATTATCAAATGGATGTTTTTATCTATAGATTATGGTATCAATAATTGGATAGGTGTAGCCTAGCCTATAATATTGTTAACATTATATTATATATGTTTTATAATTAAATTATAATAATTTCTAATTATTAAATATATACATAGCCTATATCTAGGCCCACACATAAAACAAATAATAAAACAACAAAAAGTTTATAAATAAAATAGTAGTAATAATAGTAATAATAATAATAATAATAATAATAATAATAATAATAATAATAATAATATAATAATAACAGTGCTCGAAATGAATAAAAATTGTTTAATTAATGAGATGAATCAGCA